TTGCTGAGCTATTTGGATTTTTTAAGACATGATCACATACAATATATTAATGATACAGAATAACATAAAATAAAAGCTCTCACTAAATTTATATAATAAGATAATTAAGAAAACACCCATTGTTTATTTAGTAAACAGAAAAGGAGAGTTCATTGCAGGATATAAAAAAAAAAAACAAAAAAAAAACTCTTCAAATATTCTTTTAAAAAAGCAAGGAATGAGCTATTTGGATTTTTTAAGACATGATCACATACAATATATTAATGATACAGAATAACATAAAATAAAAGCTCTCACTAAATTTATATAATAAGATAATTAAGAAAACACCCATTGTTTATTTAGTAAACAGAAAAGGAGAGTTCATTGCAGGATATAAAAATAAAATAAAACAAAAAACTCTTCAAATATTCTTTTAAAAAAGCAAGTCATGTGTATTCCTCCTCCAGTATATTATTTGAAACTTTTGACGATACTTAACTAGAAAACCGCTTCAATTTTATCTCACAACTATTATAATATTACTAAATACCAGTAGCAAAGTGGGGAAAAAGTGGTTTTATCAGAGGTGCCAGCCATAATTAACTTCATAGATTCGTCGAGAATCAATTCCCTTCTAGCACAGGAGAATCAATTTCAGAGACTCCATTCTTTTTCAATGGTTCCTCCAAGATGTAATAAATAAAAAAGATTGGATTTCTTTTAAAATTCTTGTGAATCTCCTGCTGCCTCAAAGCACTTCTTTTCCCCGAGATAAAGTCAAATATTACATTTATTTTTATGGTTCTCTTACCTCCCTGATCTCGAGAATATATATATATATATATATAGTTTACTTGGGATTATCATTTTGTCTCTTAATCTCATATACATAAACTATACGTACACCAATCTTAGATTTGTGTGTGTGTGTGTGTGTATACACCAAAAACAGCAATTTGCATGATCTCTTTAATTTTGTTTTTTGAAATCTTAGCCTTTGGTGAGTTTTTCATGGGTTTGAGATTTTTTCAATATTTGATTTGATTTGATTTGATTTGAGCAAAAGAAAAAAATATAAAGAAGGAAAAAGAAAAGAAAAGTGGAGAGAGAAGAAGAATAAGGGACAAGATTGGGAAGAAGAGGCAGGAATGAGGGTCAGAAATGGAATGAGAGATCTGAGCTTAACCCCTAGAAAATTGGTAAGAGGTCTTTAGTACCTAAAAATTATACTAGTTCAAAACTACACTAGAAAATGGTATTATTGCACTAGGAATAAGGAAAGAAAATAAAGTAGAGCCAAGAACCAAATCGTGGAAGAGGACAAATGTGGGGATCAATGTAAAACTTTGTCCCTTCACACGATACGACGTTGTTTTCTGAGGGCAAGAACACAAAAAAAAGAAAAAAAAGGAGGCTTGGCCTGACACTGTTCACATCTTCTTTCTTCCCCCCCTCGCTTTTCTTTCTTTTCTACACCCTTTTTATTTTATTTTATTTTCTGGGCAAAACAACAAAGCCCTAGCGCTCTCTCTCTCTCTCTCATGCTTGCCACTCCGCCAAAACAACACAAAAAACAAGCCTTGTCCCCTCTCTGGATCGTATTTGAACTTGCAGCAACAACAGTGCTGCTCAAGCTAACCTTAAACCTGTAATTCATCCACAAAAAAAAACACATTTTTGCAGCCGTATTTCTTGCTGCAATTAGGAACAAAGAAGAGAGCTGGCAAATACGTGGAGGGTCTGGTTCTTTGATATGATCTATGAATGAGTTTGGTTTCCAAGGCATGCAGCAAACAACCAGGGGTCCTTAGGTCCTTGTTTATGTATCTTGTGTGCTGACTTTAGATACGCATGAAAGAAAATCAGGTTCATGGCATGTTGGCGGTCTGTTTTGAATGTCGAAAGAAAATAAGTAGGCTACGGCTAATGCCACGCCCAGCTCCAGCTGCATGGGTTTGTTCATGAGATGATGGGGTTTTTGCTTTGAACGTCAAAGAGAGGAGGAGTCAGGTCATAACCCATGCTTGTTCTTTCTTTATGTCTGAGCCTGACATGGAGAATTGCAAGTCTAGGTTAGTTTTTGAGTAAATAACTGGAGGAGGAGGCTGCCATGCCGTATCTCAAATGTTTAGGTGATATATAAAACATTTATATGGGCGGCATATTCCGGGATGCGGTGGTTGATTTGTCCTACGAACACCTTCACATCGCAACTCCTAGAAAATAATGACACCTGCTTTCGATTTAACCCCTAATCCTTCCTTTGTCAATCCAAATAGATGATGGGTCTTTTGCCTCGATCCTGCATGAATGTTTATTTCATATCCTTCTTGCCAGTCATGTTCTCTCCCTAGCTACTAGCTTCATATCTGTTTGGGTCTCCCTCTAACATACAAGGAAACGAATGCCCCCCTTGTTCTATGAAAAATGATATCGGGTACATATTATTTCCGTATCATGTACTTCAATTTTGGCTGCGAGTTGAATTTTAAGGCAGGTTTGGTATTTGGTTATGTTAGAGTGGTTATGTTATTTAAAATATATACTTATATATTAAAAAAATATTTTTTTTATTTTTAATATGCCATTGCCTTGCATATTTGAGCTTGTAACATTTTTCCATACTATTTGAATTTTAATTGTTTGATTTATTTTTTTTGAAATCCGTTCGTAAACTTAACAAAATCCTATGATAAATGTCGCTTAATTGCAATATTTTAATATTTGTAATTCTTTTATTTTGCCCACTTACATGCAATGGTTTGCATTTCATGTTTTGCATTTTTTATTCATTTGCATTTGCAATTTCTCTTTTATTCATGTATTTACAATGATTCCAAGAATAATTAATATATATATATATTAAATGGATAAGATTTCCAACTTTGAAATCTGGGGGGGTATTTACAATGATTCCAAGAATAATTAAATAAATTTATTTTCCCATTTTATATTTTTTTTTATCCTTCAAGATTGCAATATTAAAAAAAATGTCTTAAGTTTCAATGGCACAAATAAATTAAAATGTGATTAGATAAATCGCAAGGTTAATTAAATTTGCATCGGCGACTTGATTAAAAATAAATTCATCAATAAGACTTGAAAATTATTAGGAAGATAATTATTTATAAGAAACTATAGAGTAAAGTAACATTTCTTTAGAAATGTTTTTTTTTTTAATCTTCTTTTAAAGATACCAACTCCTTATTCTATTTTCTGAAATCAGTGCACCTTCTTAAGATTTTAAAGAACTAAACAAATGTTGACATTTTTTATATATAATTTTCTTAGTCCAAAAGTCCTACATTCTGGGGATTCACAAATAACACACAAAATGCTTGTGCTTTATTTCTAAACGTATAGCATTGACATGAAGTTACAGAAAAAATACAAGTATTTTATGCTTTCCTGGGAAGGAAAGGAAGAAGACATTTGAGCAACCCAAATCTAGCATGCATTTTTCAAAGAAGAATCGAGCAGGTCAATCTTAAGAACCATGCACATTATGGAATCCAAAGAAAGGATATCTGCTAAAAAATCGATAACATCCAGAAGATAACAAAAGGTTTATATGCCAGAACCCAAGACGTCTCGGGTCAAAGAAAACCCACCTGGATATGACCTGTGTATTTTCAAAGTTCTTGCCTTTTCACTAGGCAAGGTATCAAGATGATTTTTCTTCGTGTTTTCTACTGGTTTCTCAATAGCCTCTTTAGTTTCAGCAATAAATTGAAGACCCTGGAACAATACGTCGGACCATGTCATGGGAAATGGAATTATGAATACAATGAAGAAAGTGTGACTTAACATACCTTTAGAGACCTTTCTTCATATGCCATAGCTGAATGGTTTGCTAGCTTAGCACCAACATCCTACCAGAGTTCCAAGGTAAAATAGTTCAATTAGTAACTACATACACTGAGAAGGTAAGGCGTCACATACTGTGCATTATCTTAGTGGTTGCCAAGAAATGGGTTTTTTTTTTTTTTTTTTTTGGGGGGGAGGGGGGTTG